TCTGGGAAAATAAAAAATCGTTGAATTCTAACGGCCACGTCGTGTATAGGGATTTTCAGTGATTTTCAAGTGCGTCAATAGAACCGGTTTTTGTACCCGAACTTTTAACTCGTTAAAATGTATAATTTTTATTGAAGTTCAGGAAAAATAAGAAATCGCCGAATTTTCACTAATTACGTGTTGAGTAGTTACTTTCATATACTTTCAAAAGCTGGGTCTGATCCGGTTTTTGTACCCGAATTAGTTTTTACTGACCACTTGCTGGATAGGTTTTCTTATAAGCTTTCAACTGTTACGTTCAGTAGAATCGGTTAGAGCCTTGTCTTTCTGTTTACCACTTGAGGTATATCGGTTCGTTAGACCTTGTTTAAACTCGGTTTTTGTATCGAAATTTCGGGTGGCAAATCGAGACACGAGTCTAAGCCAAATTTTTTAAACCTTTACAGGAATAAAGTAAATCCACCAAATCTCTGCTGACCACATGTTGTGTAGGTATTGTGTATCCATTGACTTTAAAATAATTTTGTAAAAGTAGGTCTGAATCGGTCTTTGTACCCTTACTTCGGGTGAGGAAGAAATATTTTAGTTCAGTAGATCCGGGTCGAAACCGGATTTTTTACCCCCTTACTTTCGAATCTGGGAAAATAAAAAATCGTTGAATTCTAACGGCCACGTCGTGTATAGGGATTTTCAGTGATTTTCAAGTGCGTCAATAGAACCGGTTTTTGTACCCGAACTTTTAACTCGTTAAAATGTATAATTTTTATTGAAGTTCAGGAAAAATAAGAAATCGCCGAATTTTCACTAATTACGTGTTGAGTAGTTACTTTCATATACTTTCAAAAGCTGGGTCTGATCCGGTTTTTGTACCCGAATTAGTTTTTACTGACCACTTGCTGGATAGGTTTTCTTATAAGCTTTCAACTGTTACGTTCAGTAGAATCGGTTAGAGCCTTGTCTTTCTGTTTACCACTTGAGGTATATCGGTTCGTTAGACCTTGTTTAAACTCGGTTTTTGTATCGAAATTTCGGGTGGCAAATCGAGACACGAGTCTAAGCCAAATTTTTTAAACCTTTACAGGAATAAAGTAAATCCACCAAATCTCTGCTGACCACATGTTGTGTAGGTATTGTGTATCCATTGACTTTAAAATAATTTTGTAAAAGTAGGTCTGAATCGGTTTTTGTACCCTTACTTTCGATTCGGTATTTTTTTTTTAAATATATGGTCCTCACTGACTACCTGATGGATAGCTATATTTATAAAGTTTCGAATGATACCCATACACCGATTAAGTAGAACCGTTTACAACCTCGTTTTTGTAATCGATGGTGAGGGGGAGGTGAGATTTCTGGAAGAATTAAAAATGTTATTCTGTAGCCCCTCTTTTGGAAATGGAAAGATAAAATCATCGAATTTTGTCTTAAATTTTTGTTGGAACAGGTATTTTCACAATCTTTCAAATAACACCCATATACAATGTAGCTGAACCGGATCTTACAATACAATTAGTTTTGCCTTGAGATAAAATTAAAATAAAATAATCGAAAAAATTGGCCACATCTTAGTTTAGATTACTATTACCTTTCAATGATACCCACACATCGGTTCTTTAGAACCGGTTCTAATGCGGTTTTTGTAGCTGAAGACCAGCTAAATTTCAGAACGATACATATTTATTCTTGTAGTAACGGTTTTGTAAAACCGGGTCTAACCTGGTTATTTTGTAGCAACTCTTTCGGAAATGAAAAAATAAAAATCATCGAAATTTGTCTTTGGAGAATTTTAATTTGCCATTTTTTGGATGGGTATTCCATCATATTTCAATGATAGCCATATATAACGGTTCTGTAGAACCGGGTCTAATGCGGTTATAGCCACTCTTTCGGAAATGAAAAAAAATCATTGAATTTTGTCTTAACTTTTTTTGGGTTAAGTATTGTCATAAACTTGCAAATAATACCCATATATAATGACTTATCAGAACCGGATCCTACCCGGTTTTTTACACTAATATGGCTGAGAGAAAAAAAATAAAATCGAAAAAAATACTGGTCACTATTTGGATAGGTTTTTCATTAATTAAACCCATATGTCGGTTTTGTAGAACCGGGTCTAATCCGGTTTTTGTTTCCGAAAATCAAAGAAATTTTTAGAATTCTGAAAACATTCAACTGAGGGTTGAATAAAAAATATTTACAGCAAATTTCAGCCCTGCTTACCAGCATGTATAGGTACATTTCAAATTTTAAGATTCTTTCCATTTCTTTTGGATGTTGATGATGTAGAAATTAAGGACTTAGGTCTTTTTCACTCTCAAGGTAGTAAGTATTTTCCTCTCATATGCATGCCACACACACACATGTGAAACTACATACCTCTGTTGTGGTTTACTCACTTTGTTTTGCTGATATTTTTCTTTGGCTGGTTGTCTGCCTGTGATGGCTTGATGAAGACATATGTACACACACACACATATACACCTACATCCTTCAAGGCAACTTAATTCGGAACAATGAACGTGCGTGGGAATGAAGTTACAGGATAATTTCATCAGCCAATACCACCATCACATCACTCTACCTTAACTCCTGCCAGGAGCGAAGAAAGGGAACACTGATATTTATTCTGAGATGATTTTGCTTCTCTCTCTCTCTCTGAGATGATTTTATTTTCCACTTGTTTTTTTATCTCCGTATAATTTTTCACTTCCTTTCTTCGTTTCGTTGTCGTTTTCCTTTTCTGCTGCGAGGATGCTAATTAAATAAAACATATTTGTTTTTTTGGCTGCTCGAAAAAGGAAGAAGTGCGTGTGTGTGTGTGTGTGGAAAAAAATTAAAGTTTTCCAATTACCCGAAGTGACTGGTGTGTTTCCGTGCGCTACGTGAAAAACGGGAAAGAAAAGAAAACTTTTTCGCTTGCAACATGAGCAATACTCGTCACCACTCACACACACACACGCACACGTACTTACAATGTTTTCCTTTTGGTGTCAGCTTGGTTGGGAAAAAGGCTGCAGTAAGATTGTGTTTGTTTCCACCAACTTTGTTAAGAACAAATAAAGTAATTAAAACTACTATACGTTTTTTAAGGATCTCAAGGAGATGTGTGGTTGGGAGGAAGGTGGTGGGGGAGGGTTGTTATGTGATACTCTACTCTCTTGTTTTTAAGGGAATAAATGGGTGACACATTGAAATATTGGCATTTTATTAAGAATATTCTGACGAGGAATTTTATATCTGGTGACTATGGGAGAAGGATGTATTTGGCCCTTTTCTATCGCAGAGACGAAGGATTATTTTTAGGCTTTAGATTTTAAATGGTTTTAACTCTCATTGTTATATTCCAAATGATACAGAGATTTTCTTCAAACGAATATCGAATATTTCTTCAACAATAGTTCTAGTGTGAATATGGGACGTATCAACCAAATCATCAACCCTATCCGCCAAAAAAAAGAAAGAAGTGAAAAATTAAAAAAAATTTTTTTTTTTTCAAATACAAATTTTTTTCAGAAACAATTTTTTTTCCAAAAACAAAAAAAATGTTTTAAAAAAAAAAACTAAATCTTTTTTTTTTCAAAAAAACCCTTTTCAAATACAATTTTTTTTTTCAAAAATAATTTTTTTCCAAAAACAAAAAAATGTTTTTCAAAAAAAAAAAAACTAAAACTTTTTTTTTTCAAAAAAAAAAAAACCTTAAAAAAATTGTGAAATCTCATTTTTTAAGGAAGTACCCGATGCAGTTCCAAAGTGACGAATAGTTATATTTGGATAAGATTAAGATCTGTAGTAAAAAAGAACAATACCTCGTAAGTCCCTCACTCACAGGCCAATATCAGTCCAAATGACCTGAATTTTGGTACATCCGACAGAATTCACTCAAGAAGCAAGAACATCAAATTTGCAGAAAATCGGTTCGGATATAGCTATAGCTTCTACATATATGTTTCATCCGATTTGGTGTTTAAGCCTCTCACATTCGTAAAATACATTCCACAACAATGATATTTGCCACCAGATATCAGCTACGGCTTAGAAATACCTCTCCAAAATGTTATCGAGATCGCTTCAGATTTAAATATATGGCTCCCATAAACAGCCATAATTTTTACATTTTTTTAATTTTATTGATTAAAAGCAAAAAAATGTCGGAAATATCATCAATTTTTAAAAAAAAGGTTTAGATTTTTTCGAAATTGTCACCTTTGGCACGAATTATGGCCTTCAAACGGCAAATGAAACACACGCTGCCCGAATGTTATTCTGCGGTATTTTGGCCCAGACACAATAGTCCAACAGATTTTTATCCGGAGATTTTGGTGGCCATTGTGCGTTTGAAATGAAGCGAGAAACCTGGGTGGCGCGTGCTGAGTGCGATGGTGCTGAGTAATGTTGGAATGTCCAAGGTCTGCGGTCAAAATTGTTGCTAGCCCACCCAAAGCTTTAATACACCCTCAGAGTATTTTCGCGATAATATTCGGTATTTCTTCACTGAGGGAAAAATCCCGTTGCGAAATCAAGCACGTATGTTGTCATTTTCGCAACGACCCGTTGTTATATTTTTCAACAACGGCTGTTGGTGAATTGTGCACGAACGTGCTCAAATTGACACCGAGACGTGGTCAACTTTCGGTACCAACAACAGCCGTGCTTAATTTGTCCATTTGTAATATTGGTAATTGCAGCCGATTACACACGAGTAAAAAATGACAACGGTGGTGCATGATTCACACACGGTCGTTGTCAATATGACACCGGTCGTGTATGAATTATGCACCACCACCTGCATAATGATGCACCACCGTTGTTACTTTGTACACCGACGTGCATGAATCGTACACGATCGTTGCCATTTTAGCAACTACCGTGTATGAATCATGCACCACCGTTGTCATTTTTTTTACTCGTGTGCAATCGGCTGCATATTTACCATTTTTTCCGTGTTATTGAAAGAGAAAGGACGCATTGTGCAAAAAATTTATTGAAAATGAATAATAATTCGCAAGATCCTCAAAATATCATTGGTGAGTTGTTAGAAATCGATGGCAATATTGTTGTGGTTCGCGATACAAACCATTGCAGCAGTCAAGATGCGGAAAACAATGAGGACGATTATATGTTAAGGGAGTTCTTAAAAGGAATAAATATGGAGTCGCTTTTTGAACAATTAAAAGGTAAGTAAATAAAAATGAATTTTTCAGTTAATCAGTGTAATTAACAAAGAATTTTCTTTTTTGTTCTTTTAGCATCACATGTAACATTTCGCAGCTTGCAGTACTTGAAAAAAGAAGATTTAAAGGAAGCAGTGCCACCATTGGGACTGCGTGTTGAATTCAGAGAAAAGCTCTTTGCTTGGAAAAAACGAAAGGTACGTATTATTTGTTTTACAGAGTTGAACTCAGTATTAATATTGTCATAACAATAGCTCGGGATTGATGACGAAACTATGTCAGTTCCATCTAAAATAGGTGAATGGTGGAAACGCAACGAGACACCTGCAAGTACTCCTGGTACTCCCGACACTACAGGTTCGAACTGCTCAAAAGCCAAAGGAATTTTGTCAGAGGTAAGGTAAGAGTAATATTTGTGTAAGCATAGTTAATGTAGTTTTTTTATTTAATATAGGATCTAACGGAATTGTTAACACATACCTCGAAGGGGAAACTAGCGCTTGAATGTAGTAGCGTTAATAAGAAATTAAGTGACGAGCAAAGAGATGATATAATTAATATAATTATTGAAGATATTTTAACCAACAATGTTACTCTTTACACTCAAGACTATATGCGCATATTGGATGAAATTTGTTCCGTTTTTCCTCTTGAAAACGAAATGAGGGTAAGATTAACAATATAAACAACGTATCTGATTATGTAGTTTCTTAACTTATAATATGTCTTTATTTTTAGGATTATTATTACATTTCAAGAAAAGGAAAGAACAACGCAAGCGGAAAACTTTATGCCAAGTATAGAAACAAGAAGTCCAAAAGAATAAAGCTTTTGATTTCCGAGCCTAGCACAAGCAAAGCAGCAACTCACACATCTCCTAATTTTTGTAACAAAGATGTTCCCGAAATTGATGAATCAGTTGAAAATTCATTGAAAGCTTCCTTACTAAGAGAATGTAATGATTGGGGATCGATCTGCGAAAAATGGAAAAGATCTTTTAACATAACTTAGAACCAAATGTTATCATTAATACGCATACCATCGAAGATTTGGCAAAAGAGGAATATTGTTACAAAAAAAGTAAGCCAGTTTTAAATTACCAAAATTGCAAAGTGTCTGATGACATTTTTTTTAAGGGAACTAGGTATAAAAAAAACTATTATTTAGCAACAAATAATGCCGCAATTGAACTTTTCAAAATTAAACATTTAATAATTGAAAATGAAAATGTTTACATTTTATGTAACCAAGTAAAAGTTAAAAACTTTGATTACCATTTACAATCGTATGAAGTTGGTTCTCTGAATGAGGATACAATTTTTTTAATACCAATTTTAGATTTTATTACTTACCCATTTCACTTATATCCTATGAATAATGGAAAAGTTTATTTCAGATTTAAGTTAATTTAATTTGTTTCTATACATTGAATATATGTAATTCGAATTGTTTTGTTAAATCAAATATGTATTTATATTGAATTTATGTAATTGGTTTCGTTCAATAAAATACTTTTCAAAAAATGTCGTTTCTTCTACTAAGGGTATAAAATGGAAAAGGAACGGATATCAAAAAATGACCACCATTGATTTCAATCTGACAACGGGCGTTGACAATCCGACAACGGAGCGTTGACAATCTGACAACGAAGCGTTGACGATCTGACAACGAAGCGTTGACAATCTGACAACGGGGCGTGCTCGAAATGACCACGTATGTGCTCATTTCATGCACATCTGTTGTTGAAATCGTTGCCAAAATCTCGGTGTCAAAATGACAACAGCGTGCTCATTTTGACACCAAACGTGGTTGATACACTATCATACACGGATGTGGTCATTTCATACACGGATGTTGTCATTTTTTCTCTGGGTGTTCTGATCCCACGGTCGATTAATACGAGCGGAGGGCCACCATCGGCTGTTATGGCGGCCCACACCATCAACATGGAAGGCGCTTGAATTCTGGAGGCCAACCGAAGGTACACATTTTCAGCTGACCTCTTTGGCAAGTAAACTTGATCATTTTTCACGAATGTTTTCTCATCGGAGAAAACCAAATTCGACAATTCACCACTTTCGGCCAAGCGAAGCAACTCTTTAGCTCTTTTGAGTCTATTTTCTTTCGGTTGCGGTGTAAGTTCTTGCACTTATTGGAATTTCAATGGATTTACCTCGAGCTAATTTTTCAATATTTGCCGAATGGAATGGTGCGATCTGTTCAGCTCACGAGACATTTTTCGGCCACTGCGACGCGGGTTTCGATCAAGTCGCTTTTTTATTTTTCGAACCATTTCTGCTGATTTTGCTGTTTTCTTTCGTCCGCTTCCTTGACGTCGGGCTATGCTACCAGTATCACGGTAACGATCGATGGTACGGGACACAAAAGATTTATTCACATTTAATTGCTGAAGTGCTCTAACGATAGACACTTGTGGTTTTTCAGCCAAATATAAAGGAATCATACTATCACGCTTGAATTCCATCCCGAATAACTTTTTTTCTGGAAAATTCCCACCAAAATGCTTCTGTACGCTTGTAAACAATATAATGAGCTGTCGCTGGAATAATTTTAACAGCTGTCGGACGAGTGGCTTAGAAATGACAGCAGTCTGAAGTTGGTTGCAGTTTTTTTCATTTCACCCTGTATATACATTTCAGCCGAATTTTGTATCTAAGTCACTCAAATCCGTATAATGTACTTCATAACAAGGATTTTCGGAGCAAGATATTGGGTATATCCTAAAAATACCTTTTCCATGTTTTGTCGAGATCGGTTCAGACACACATATATGTCTCCCACATTTATTTCCATTAAGAACGCTATATTTTGGCAAAGAAATTTGTCTCAATCCTCCACCATAGTATGGAGGGTATATTAAGTTTATCATTCCGTTTGTAACACATCGAAATATACATTTTACACCCCACGAAGTATGTATATTCTTGATCAGCATAAAATTCTATGACGACTTAGCGATGTCCGTCCGTCTGTGGAAATCACTCTAGCTTCCGAACGAAATGAAGTAGGTTGATAAAATTTTACTTAAATATATATTATGTCTGCAGGACTGTTGGTATTGAAAATGGTCCATGTAGGTCTACATTTTGGTATAGCCCCCATATAATGGTACCACCCTATTTTCGATATTTTGATGATTTTAGCGACATTATTCACCGGAATTGTTTCAAATTTTGTATTTGAAGTTTGTAGTGGATACTACAGGATATGACAGAAAATTGTCTGTGCCAGGTTCACGTCTTCGTATAGCCGCCATATAACTGTACCTCCCGATATTCGGTACATTGATGATTTTAGCGACATTATTCACTGGAATTGTTTCAAATTTGGTATTTGAAGTTCGTAATGGATACCACAGCCTAAGACAGAAACTTGTCTCTGCAGGTCCACATCTTCAGAAACTTGTCTCTGCAGGTCCACATCTTCGTATAGCCCCCATATAACGGTTCCTGCCCACATTCGATATTTTGATGATTTTAGCGACATTATTCACCGGAATTGTTTCAAATTTGGTATTTGAAGTTCGTCATGGATACTACAGCCTATAACCAAAAATTGTTTGTGCAGGTCCACGTCTTCGTATAGCCCCCATATAATAGTACCTCCCTATATTCGGTATTTTTGATGATTTTAGCTACATTATTCACCGGAAATGTTTCAAATTTGGAATTGAAGTTCGTAGTGGATACTACAGCCTATAACCAAAAATTGTCTGTGCAGGTTCAAGTCTTCGTATAGCCCCCATATAACGATACCTCCCGATATTCGGTACTTTGATGATTTTAGCGACAATATTCACTGGAATTGTTTCAAATTTGGCATTTGAAGTTCGTAATGGGTGCTACAACCTATGACAACAATTTTTGTATACAGGTCCACGTCGTTGTATAGTCTCTAATATAACGGCTACATTCGGTATTTTTAAGTCTTTAACAGAATTTTTAAAGGATTTTATTTTTTTTGAAAATTGCCAAATTCATTCCAAATGGTGGAGTGTATAAGAAGTTTTGCCCGGCAGAACTTAGCTGCTTATTTACTTTTTCTATTTAGATATTCGGGTTAGGATATAGCTTCTAAAGGCTACTTTTAACCTATTTTAAATTTAAGCCGCTCTTAAGCATTAATACGCAATTAACACCTAAATTGCCAATATGGACGTTTATTTGCTACGCGGGACTCTACTAAATAGTTAAAGTGGTGTTGGGTATCATAAAGTCGGCACCACCCGACTTTTGCCTTTCCTTACTGTTTTTGTTATGTATTGAATTTTTTCTGCTCTTGGTCCTGAGCACCCATCTTCGTGGCCACCCATCACAATAATGCCCAATGACATCTCTTGCTCTCGAAACTTTGCAAACTAATGTATATCCTATTTATTCTTTGTTGTTGTTGCTGATTAAGTGTTGGTATTGGATTCAGGAAAAGTAATAAAATATTCAGTGTCGCCTCAGTTTATGGGCCTTCCCAGTACTGCATTTTAATCAGATTCGATGGATATGAAAAGGAAGCGTATTCAGAAAAAAATGTAACTGAAATACTACAAATATTCTGAGTTTGTTGTTCATGCCATCACCATTTTGGTCATGTTGTTGCTGTTGTTGTTGTTGCCGCTGTTGTTTGTGGGTTGTCAGACATACATTACTAACATATTTGATATGCATTGTTGCCGTACATACAAACATATATGCTAATATATATTTGTACGAGTATTAGAGTGGATCTAGAGAATTTAGGCAATTTTGTATGACGCCCCAAAGCAATTATAGATGTTGAGTCCAACTTTTTTCGATTTTAACAATCTTACTCCTCGTAAAAGTTTTGCTGGGTTGACATTATCGTGATAAAATGTAATATTTATTATTATATTTTTATTAATTTTTTTACTTATTTTTATTTATTTATTTCTTTTTTTATTTATTTTTGTTTTTTTTATTAATTTTTTTGATTTATTTATTTTATATATTTTTTTTATTTATTTTTTATTAATTTATTTTTTGTTATTTATTTTTTATTAATTTATTGTTGTTATTTATTTTTTTATTTATTTATTATTTATTTTTTTATTTCTTTATATTTTTTATTTATTATATATTTTTTTATTTATTATTTATTTTTTTTTATTATTATTATTTTTTTTTTTTGAAAAATCCTCACTCCACCCCAATATCCCCCTGCCTGCATATTAAACATTCCCGTCCAACTGGAATGTGTTTTCTATGCATAGTTGGCCAACCGGTCGTTCGGTGTGGTTCGTCGCATAGAGAACATTTTATGGCTTCTGGGTTGTCTGTCCGTCCGTCTGTCTGTTTCGTTGGATATGTGTAGCTGCCACTGCCGCCCATGTACATGACATTTGAAAATGCCATTATTGCATTTTTCTCGTGGAGAAACAACAACAAAAATTTAAATATATTTAAATGTTGAAAATCTGAATACTTTGATTCACATAAATAATTTTAAGATTTTTTTTTTAAATTTTGGAATTTTCTGTAATCGTCCAAAATTATTTATTAAAGGGTGTGCAGGGTGATATGAAAAAACTGCAACCAAGATTCAGTGACAAGCGTACAAAAGCATTTTGGTGAGAATTTTCCAGAAAAAAAAATATTCGTGATGGAATTCAAGCGTGATTTCTTTATATTTGGCACTCCAGCATTTGAATCTGAATAAATCTTTTGTATCTCGTACCATCGCTCGTTACCGTGACACTGGTAGTGTAGCCCGACGTCAAGGAAATGGACTTAAGAAAAAAGGCAACATCAGCAGAAATAGTTCGAAAAGTAAAGAAGCGTCTTGATCGAAACCCGCGTCGCAGTGGCCGAAAAATGGCTCTTGAGCTGAAAATATTGCAATATTCCATTCGGCAAATAGCTAAAGAGTTGCTTCGCTTGGCCGAAAGTGGTGAACTGCCTAATTTGGTTTTCTCCGATGAGAAAACATTCGTTGTCCAGCAGTTTGTAGACAAACAAAGTGATCGTGTTTTCTTGCTAAAGAGGTCAGCTGAAAATGTGCACCTTCGGTTGGCCATGAGAACTCAAGTGCCGGCAATTTTTTTCGTTATTGTAGCAG